TGAAGATGTAAGGGTGTATTTTTCATAATTTATTAGGAGGAATTGGGGATTAAATATTTTCAAAATTGTAATTGTAATTTATAAGTGATGCAGGACTTTTTATCAAGAATAACTTTTTTCATGAAACTAATATATTGTTACGCAGCACCCTGCAGTAGCCTGCGGCTATTATAGGAAACGTACAGATAAAAAAGAAGTGGAATATTACTCATCGCCCTACAGCGTGCTGCGGTCGTCATAAGTAAAAGTACAAGTAAAAGAAGATAGAATAGTCCAGAAATGTCATTACCCGTCAAAAATATTCTAGAAGACAGTTCGAGAAGGGTCAAGCAAGCTATATAAGGATGATCCTGACGTCAGTTATAAGTTTTATGATAGACGTTATACGTTAATGTTATCAGTTGCATAGTTTTGGTGTCATCGGCTTCGACTACTAAGGTCATTAGCCTCGTGTTCTGTGTAGGCTTTGTTACTGTTTCCCAGCGCCACCTTAGGAACAGCACTGTTAATTAGAACCCAACAGTGAATGATCGAATGAGGAATCCTACCAAGGCATCAGAATTAATTTTAAATAATTTAATTAAATAAAAAAAATCCCGGTCAACGGTAGGATTCGAACCTGGGACCCTTGGATACACCGGCAGAGACTCTACCACTGAGCCACCCACCCCTATTCAGTTGCATAGTTATTGTAAAAGTTGAGTTGAAATAAATTGAGATACCAAAAACCTGTGTAACAATTAAAAATATTGTTATAATGGCACATTTTTCATATTGCCAACTGCATATATAACGTCGCTACCCTCAATGTATCATCCCTTACAAGCAGTAATAATATTTTTATCACCTCACAAAAATCTAATTTTTAAAAACTTGTATAAAGACAACTAACCATATAATGAACTTTAATCTATGGACCCTTTTATCATTTATGAGCATGCCTTATTTTGTATTAATCCAAAATTCAGACAAATTCATGGGAATCACTTTTTGCATTAAAAGCGTGCAGGGCGGACCTTTATAAAGCAAATTCAATGTCGTATTAATGTGTTTGAACCATAAACGCTAGTCCGGAGCAAAAGTTCAAAACTCTAGAGATGAAAGTTGGTCGGTCGTATTGACCGAAGTGGCTTACTCGCCTAGGGACCAGTCGAAAATACAAAGTTTGGAAGATAGTCTTTCTCTTTATTAAACCAAAATAATGTTCTGGTTGGCAATGTGAAGATTGGAGTGGATTTAAATAAATTATATAACAACGCTTTGGAATTTTTTAACAGTTATGTAGAAATAGTGAATAAAGGTCTTTTTATTTACTCGATAAATTGGTTTTAAAAGACGAAGATGTTTCATTAGGGGAGACCGGGGCAAAATGATCCCCTTAAGATTTGACGTGTTATAACTTAAAGTTGTATTAAAGCTATATAATTTCAAATTGGAAGGAGGTTAAAACAATCTTTAATCTTGCCAGTGCTGACATTTAAGTCCGTATTTATAAACAAAACTCAACTGAGTGAGTCGTCCTTGAACGAAAATCCAAGTTCGGTTACAACTTCTTTAAAGTTCTAGGTAGTTCCGATGTTACACTGGAATTTAGAGATGGATAGTAGAAAATGTGTAACTGTTAAGAACATTTACGAATTCGTTACTAACCATCTCTAATTTTCACGCGATATAACGAAACTTTGATTTTCGTTCAAGGACAACTCAGATGAGTCGGACTTTGCCTGAGATCTGTTTATAGATCATTTTCAAGTAATTCTATTTTTCATTAATTCTAATTTCGTATATAATTGCCAAGTGCTCATTTTTCCGCCTGGTGATATAGGTAAAGCCCCAAATGACTGTTTATTTTGTTATTTTAACGGCGCGTACACACCTGAGTATTCGGGTCGAATGAGCAAGGCGAGCGGGAATGAGCATTCAGATATGGACGACTGAGCAACGTGCGTCGATCAGACTCAGTCCGATCCAAATTTTTTCGGTATAACAAAGTAATCGCGTGCGGCGAACGCGCTCAAATCTGTTCAGTGTGGACAGCGAAGCTAGCAGAACATACGTGAAATCGAAGGACACGATGATGGATCTCGCTCGAGAACAGTGTTTAGAAATAATTAGAGCATACATGGAGCCGTCTGAAATTAAACTCATGTGTCTCGCTACTATTATTCTGTTCAGATGAATACGCAATGCCGCATCCGAATGCTCATACGGCCCGAATGCTGAGGTGTGTACGCACCTTTAGGCAATTAAAGTAACAAAATGTTTGCATATTTATTTATTTCAAAAAGAATATAAACACGAACGCTAGGATACAATGAACAAACTAGTAAAGAATCAAACTCTTAACTCATTAAAATACTTTAACGACACACTTTTTTTGCAAAAAGCTTGTACCTGCAGAAATCACAAAAAAAATCATCCCTGAACATGCCTCGTGTGCTGATTGAAGGCATCCACAGCATTTAATTCATCCCTCTCCTACAGAGTTGGTGTATGATTCGCCGCAAATCAAACACTTTCCGACAGTCGTCCCTTTTAAACTTGCTGCATCTTAATCATTGTCCTCTGTGCACCTATTTATTTTTAATCTTTTTCTCAGATTTTTTTTTTTCGGGAACTTTCTTCCTTTGAACCTTTACTTCTAGCTCATTTTTATAGGGGCTACTGGTCAATATGATGGTGTTTCCTTTCTTTTTAAAATTTTTGCATTTGCTAAAGATCTAGTATCAGTTGCTTTTATTTAAAAAAAAAGAATTAGGTATTCTCGCTAGTGATAGTAAGGGAAAATTGGCGGTTATCTGAATTAGAGTATTTGCTAGTGCTAGGGATAGGTTCTTTATATTACACTCAAGAGCAGTTTCTTGACGGGAACATTGGCTGTTATCTGAATTAGTATTTGCTAGTCCCAGGGATAGGTTCTTTATTACGCTCAGGAATAGTTGCTTTTAGTTCTTGGCCGTTTTCTTCTGGATTTCGTATCGTAATACACACATTGGAAGGAGCTTCTTCGGAAACATTTGCGGGTGCAGTCGATATCTGAGAAAATATGCTTAAACGCATTTATTGCATTCTCAGATGTGCACCATTTTAAATTTGCTTCACAAAACAGGTTACTGATTTGAAAGACATATGTTGTTGTTTATCCAGTTTTCTATACCTCGGTCGAGATATCGACTAAGACGGTACATAACTCCCACATCCAAGGGCTGAACTCTGTGAAAAGTATAAGGGAGTAAGCACAAGAGAACGACATGATTTCTTCGGGCTTTGTCAATCACTTTCAAATTTTTAATATGGCTCCCATGACTATCTATAATAAGTAGAGAGGAGTCTTCTTTGGTATGTTTCGCGTGATTTAAAAAGTGGTCAAACCAAATCAAAAAACATCTATTGTCATCTAACCATTAGCATCGCAGGAGAATATTGATCCTGGGGGAGCCCAATTTTTAATTCCTTCTTTATTCTCTTGCGAGCAAATATTAACAACGGCGGAATATAATGTCCATACAAGTTCAAATTGCAACAGTTGTGGACATTCCACGATCGATAGATTTTCTCTAAACTTGTTTTATATCTTTCATTGCAACTACCTTAGAGTTATGGCCAGGGTCTGTACTCATCGTAGTCTCGTAGATTCAGATTTTAGAAAATCGAAGAATGTGGTAACGACCACCTTGTTGAAACCGCGCGCCCTTGCTATGGGCGTAGATTCTGGACTCCTTAAAAACGCGTTTAAATGCCTTTTCCTAAATTGGGCAAACCAGTACTTCCCAGCTGCTTGACTGGTTTTCGAAAACGGATGTTTAATATTGTTTTTTCCCGCCAGTTGAAAGGCTAGACGTCGAACATCACGTCGGTCTAATCCGTACATTCCCGTTTCTATATTAAATATATACCTCAATAACTCAGCTTCCTGATTTTCCGCAAATTCACAATGGGCGAATGCAAACTTTTTCAGTGCCTTAGGAAGAAAAGCATCAGCTTTTTTTTTACTAAGCCGCTTCAACGACATTCTTGGTGCTTTAAAGTTGGTGGTGGCTGGCCGTACGAAGATTCTATTTTCAACAGCATCAATGGCATTTTGCTTTGAGAGTTTCTTTTATAGGTTCGAACCATAATTGTCCGTGAAAGTAATTTAAAATAAAGGATTGTCTTCTAATATCTAACAAACCAATAAAATCGCGGAGCAAAACGATCCAACATCGTTCTGCCCCGATGCATAACGGATCATTTTGTCCCATTTCCCGTTGACATTCTTTTTGAATGCCTGTATACATAATATTGATTAACAAAACACTTCACTAATCATAGAGATTGTAATAAGGTACTTACGTTAGATCAAACACTTAGAAAAACTTGGACGACTTGAAGCGAACTTCCGAATTGCGACGGTAGAGGCACCTTTTGCTATCGGCCCATAGAGGGCGGTTGTAGTCCATTGGAAAATCGGAAAGGGTCGTAACGCACCAGGGGATTATTTTGCCCCGTTATCCCCTATATGTAATTACATAAAAATATTATAATCATAAACAGATTTAGTTTAAAACTACGAAATTTTTTATAACTGGTTTCTTTCTCGTTTTAATTAGTGTATCATGTCTCAGATCTTATGCCATTCCGATCATATACTCGTATCATTTCGATTATTAGTAGTTTTAAACATATGTGATTTCGATTATTTGTACTATCGATCATATCTCATTTCGATTACATGCGATTTCGATCACTTGTTCTTATTTCGATCTTTTCTTACTTTCGACCTTATCATTTTCATTTTTTTTTTTAATTTTATCATTCAAACTTTTGTATTTTTAAAATTTTGTCATTCGAACTTTTATAGTTCCAACTATAGTTTTCAAAATAATTGTGTCATTCGAAATTTTCTATTTCTAACTTTTGTTATTCAAACTTATTTCACCAACTATATCTACCCTTAATGCAAGTGCATTTTTGAATAAAAAATCCTGCGTATGAACTATAAATTAATTTTTATTTTGCAGTTTCCACATCCAATCATGGGCCCTTCTACAAGAAAACACGGAGGACTCATAATTCACGTTTTAGTTGCAATGTACATGTTTCTTGGACTGGCTATTGTTTGTGATGAATATTTCGTAGCCTCTTTGGACAGAATATGTGAAGGTAAGCCATTTATTTTAAATTAGGTAACAAAATTAAGTTCACATTTTTTCTTTTTTAAAATAGTGCTATTGTATTTACATAAATTGATTAAACAAACTAATTTACCTACCCTGTGCAGCCTGGAGCTATTGCGGGTGCTTCGCAAAAAATATACAATAAATGAGAAAAATTAAAAACTTAACTAACTCATAGCTACTGCGATATTTTTATCATTGAATGTATGCGGTTTTTGACACAGATAAAATTATTTTTAACAATACTTGAAAATTGACCAGAAATACCTTAAAATATTTTTTTACAAAATTATGATGTAATATTATTTTTTCAAAATTTTTTTCTTTTTATATTTACAAACTTGATAATGAAACTCGTACATGGCTGTCAACTTGGATCCTGTCTGCCTAAAGATAAAGAGACGTCAAACGAAAACGTCAAATGAAAACGTAAAACGAAAACTCAAACGAAAACGTCAAACGAAAACGTCAAACGAAAACGTCAAACGAAAACGTCAAACGAAAACGTCAAACGAAAACGTCAAACGAAAACGTCAAACGAAAACGTCAAACGAAAACGTCAAACGAAAACGTCAAACGAAAACGTCAAACGAAACGTCGATTGTTCTCTACGTAATACCGTTTTTCCCGTTTGAATCTGACCAATAGTAATAAAGATACACGCTAATGCCTTTCTGGTTTTTCGATCTGCACATGCTTTTTCTATTCGACGTTAATCTATACTGCGTTCTCTACATAATGCCGTTTTTCCCGTTTGAATCGAACCAATAGCAATAAAGATACACGATAAGGCCCTTCTGGCTTTTCGTTCTGTGCATGTTTTTTCTATTCGACGTTAATCTATACCGCGTTCTCTACATAATGCCGTTTTTCCCGTTTGAATCAGACCAGTAATATTCGAGATACACGCTAAGGCACGTCTGACTTTTCATTCTGCGCAAGTTTTTTTCTTTTCAACATTAATCTATACTACGTTCTCTACATAATGCCGTTTTTCCCGTTTCAATCGGATCAATAGCAATAAAGATACACGCTAAGGCTCTTCTGACTTTTGGTTCTGCGCATGTTTTTTCTCTTCAACGTTAATCTATACCACGTTCTCTACATAATGCCGTTTTTCCCGTTTGAATCGGACCAGTAATAACCAAGAAACACGCTTAGGTCCTTTTGGCATTCGCATAATTTTTCTGTTCAACGTTAAAAGATATTTAATTTCCCCCACTCCCCCCAAAATAACCGGAAAAGCCTGTAATAACGTCATGTGTCGGGCACATCAGATTTTTTTGGGATCACATCGAGTTTATGCCAAATCGCCTACTTTTATCTAGTCTTCATAGAAAATAACTATTAAATGATGGATATTGCGAACGTTAAAAATATATTTCTTAGAAAAATTCTTGAATTTAAACGATTTCATAAACTTCAAAGTCAAAGACATAAAGCAATAAAATTAAATGGCTTCTCGTTATTCCTGCAAATTCTACAAATTTCATTTGAACAAAACTAAATAACATTTTTAGCAGAATTCGAAGTCGTTCAAACTTATTTTTTTATGATAAAGTTGCGGAATCCAACGTCTATAATAAAATAATATGATTATTATAATAAAACATTATTGGATTCTGTTTGCAGAACTAAAGATGTCTCCAGACGTAGCAGGAGCTACTTTTATGGCCGCAGGAAGTTCTGCCCCCGAATTAGCGACCGTCATCATCGGAGTTTTTCTGGCTAAGGACGACATCGGTAAGAAAATATAACTTTAACGTGTAAAAAAATATTTTTCTTTTGGATAAGTGGATTTTCAACGTATGTGTTTCGAAAGGAAATATATGTCCGTTACAATGTGAGCGAATTGTTTTAGAATATAATACGAGGGATGTTTGTTAAATATATAATAAATAAATTCTTTATTTCCCAACAAATATTTATTATATCCAGGACAAAATAATATTATTAAGTAGACGTAAATGAAGTTGTAGATTTCAAAACCAGTCGCAAAAATAAATACATATCATTGTGAGACACAAAGGACTTTCCCACTCTTCATTTAATAAACAAACTTACACATAGCTACCCCAAGTTTGAATTAATTATTAATATATTATTAAAAATAAAAATAAATAAGTACCAAGACAGTAATAATAATGAAGAGAGTAACAATAGTAGTTTTTACAACAAGAGTGTATATGATGGCCATATCGCACGAAAACGAAGTATGAGCACGATTGTACAGTATCTTTTTTCCACGATACACTAACGAAAACTCATTTATGGTGCTATTTCAAAAATCCTGTTACAGCCTGTTATTTTAACATTACGTCGTAATTAAGTAACTGAAAGACCTGCGAAACAACGGTAGTTTAGTATGTATAAAAATTACAACTGAAATTGATTACACCACCCCTTATAATTTTCGGACAAGCATATCTTAAAAATTAATTTTTTAAAAAAATAAAGTTATGGCAAAATAAATAAGGCAATAATATCTAGAATAGGCATAACGTTTAAAGTTTTAATTCCTTCCAGTTTCCAAGAAAAAAATCAAAGGGCTTTAAATGTTGAAATATCATAATGAATGCATTTATCAACAGAACTATTCTTAATATAATCCCCAATTTAAACTCTTAATGTCTTGTTAATGATTTTTTAAAATTCGCCAAAATTAGTAGCTAAAACGCCTCGTTAAGTAAGTGCTATCTTCTAGTATTGTTACACTGGGTATCAGCAGCCGAGTTGCACAGTTAAAAAAAGTTATCCATTTGGGTAAAATTTACAAATGAATTTAAAGAAAAAAGTGGTAATAAAGTAATACGTTTCTTTTTTATCTCACATGTCGGGTATAAGAAGTTAGTATTCAATATCATCTAGACAAAAAACAAAACATGTTTAAATGAATATAATTAATAAAATATGACCATTCTTTAACAGAGATATATTTATTTGTATTATGAAAATAATGTTTATGTCAACAAACTTATGTTCGGTATATGTAACAATTTGTAAAGATAACTCCTGTATAATGATAATATTAATGTTTAAAGGTTTTAGATAAGGGCTTGAAGATACTACAGTTCGAAATTCCTTTTATTGACCATAATACTTTTCTTTGGAATGAAATCATTAGTGCTAGTTTTTCAGTTAAGCTCCATAGATCAATTCATATTTTAATCTGAACGGTACTTAAGCGTAGTAAAGTTGCAACAACTAAACAATATAGTGAACTTTTAAAATTAAATTCAATTTATATTTAGAATTAAATAAGTTAGCTAAAATAGTCCATTAGTACAAAAATGAATTGGCGCTGCTGTCACGCACGCAGCGAATAGGCAATTATTGTTATCTTTGTATTTGTCTTCATTCAATAAATAATTAATTTTGATTAACTTTTATTTCTTTAAAAAGCACATGTGCGGAAATGTTAGTCATTATGACATTCAAATAAGTATCAAATCATTTATGACTTGACAGTAGTTAAAAAAAATTAAGCATTTTATAGGAACTCCCATCTTAAATGCGTCAAACTGTAGATTTACTATTGTTGTTGAGAAATGTGTAACGCAAATTATTTTCAGGAATATCTGGGGTGATCGGCAGTGCTGTGTTCAACATAATGTTTGTGATCGCTTGTTGCGGTCTATGCTCGAGCGCTGTGGTTTACCTCAATTGGTGGCCCCTTTGCAGGGACTGCTTCTTCTACGCTGTATCCATTTTAGTCATGCTAGTCGTTATTTTCGATAAGAAAATTTCTTGGTAAGTATAATCTCATCGTACAATGCATGAAATGTCATAGTGTGTCGTCATTTGTCAAAAATTTAGGTTTTCAATTTGTTTATTTCAAATTTACCGAAATTATTTTCAATTATCAATAATAAGATTATGTTGGCTTTATCATTTAAACATTTTGTTGTAATGTTTTGTTTCTTTTAATAAAGTTTCCTGTACATTCAAAATGTAAAGCTCAAAAACCTGCGGAAGCGAAGAAGGAACACAAAATATATTTGTTTTTAGTTTTCTTAGACTTAACACTCAAAAAATCGATCAATAGTTATGAAAACAACAGAAAAAGTATAAATGCCACTTGCTCTTCGAAAAAGTTTAAGGCATTTAACGAGTTAAAATTATCATTAATGTTCAAATTCCAAAAATTAATTCAGGAACAACAATAAAAAATAATTCAAACTATTAAATCGATTAGGAATGTGAAAGATTCAACAGCAAAATAGCGCGATAAAAATTTCAAATACCAGAAAGGGCCAAAAGCCGGGAAAATAGGGAAAAACAAAACGAATCAATCTGGTATACAGACGGTTCGAAAATGAAAAACAGCACATGAGCTGGGATTTACCATGTGAACTCAGGGAGGACAATTAGTTTGAACCTGGGGTCACTGACAACAGTCTTCCAGGCTGAAGTAATAGCAATAAATGCCTGCGCCAAAGTCATGCTAAATGACTCTCTTAGAGACAACAGGATCTTTATCATGACAGACAGTCAGGCAGCCCTTAAAGCACTGAAAAGGGTAGAAGTACAATCTAAATCAATACTTGATTGCCAACAGCCCCTGGCAGAACATAACAAGGTCACCCTTAAATGGGTGCCAGGACATGAGGGAGTGTTTGGAAACGAGAAAGCAGACCTCCTAGCAAGGAAGGAAGCGGAAAAAACTCTTATTGGACCAGAACCCACATGTGGTATCTCATAAAAAATGTAAAACTATTCATGGGATACGAACAAGAAGATGAGACCATCGAGTATATCCTCTACGATTGCCCGACGCTCTCATTTATTAGAATATTTTTGTTCGACGAGAATTGACACCAGCCGATACAAGAGAAGCACCTCTTGGCAATGTTGTCAACTACATTAAATCTATAGGCTGGCTCACGAGCTAAGAGGTGCCTACATACTTAGGAGGATGTTCAATGGGCCTAGTGAGGCCTAGTGCCGTGGGTTAATTCATCCTCTACACGTTACAGAAATAAGTGATGTACAATATTTTTCCTACGACCATAAAATAATTTTATCAAAAAAATGTAAAACTTGGAAATCTGGCTATAAAGGTTCCATCAAAATGTGACTGGTTAGTGTTTGTTTTTTGTTGTTGTTTTGTGATTCCATTTACACTTTCATATGTGATAATAACTCTAAAATAACAATAGCTATAAAAAAATATTAGAATGAAATAATGTTTTTAATTAGTTTATTAATTTTTAATACAACAAATACTTAGATGAGCAATGTTTCCAAGAATTTTATTATTAAAGATGATTACCAACTTATCTATTTACAATTTGTTTTTGAACAGTAATCAAAATAGTACTGTGATGTTTGTTTACTTTAAAACAACAGTTTATTTATTAATAATTTATTCAAACACTTATTTATTTTATAACACAACTATTCTAATTTAACGAATTGTCCTTTAAATCCTTATTATCCTATTATATACAGAAAAATACGGCCATGTCGATAAATATGTTGGTAATTAATTTAATTTTATGTTGATGTAGAAAACTTATATATCTGGAACCTCCACTGGTCATGCTTTATGTTTACTTTTTCGTATGATGACGTACACGCCATACTTGTTAAAATGGCTTAAAAAAGAATAAATGTATACTTGTGTCTAAGTGGAAACTTCATTATTTATTTAAACTAATAAGAAAAGTATAAAATTTTCTTTCTCACTTAAAAGATTCCAGTAACACGTTTTCAGTTATTTCTTTGGCATCTTTTGTCGCACACTATTGCATACATTTTCAGTCTTGTGATTTATGCCTCAACAAGCGTTGTTCCCAGTTTCTTGAAGGTTTTAAATGATCCCGGTTTTGCTATTTTATTTTTACTATGCACCTTTTCGCAATAAATCAACTAAATTAAAATAGTTATTACATTGAAAACCTTCTTTCAGTACTCGCTAAATATTTAAATAAAGGACCCTAGAGGCGAAGTATTCTTAAAACTTGATAATCTAATTATAAACTTCTTTTATACCTATCAAACTAAACTTTATTTCAATTGTCGAGAATTTCCTTAAGAATTCACAAAGGAAGTATATGTATATCGAACATAAAAAGAAAAAGTATTTAGAAAACTTAAAAAAGTATGAAATTATGTATAAAGCATTTTTAAAAGTTTTGTTGATTCAGTATCTGTTTATTTTCATCATTTATCCTTTTCAATTTTATGGAAAATAAGTTAGATTATTCTTGTGATACAATGTATAAGTTTTTCTTTCATATTAAAAATCCGTTCTGTATTTTTTTTTTGTTTTTTCAGGATTGAATCTCTAGTCATGATTTTCACTTATTTAATCTATTGCATCGTCCTGCACTTCAACACGCCACTGGAAAGGTGGGCTCAAACCTGGCCCGTACCGTTCAAAGTTGTGCCACCAACCGAACAATCGGGACTGGTGAGCTACAAAACACTAGAAGATGGGAACAAACATCAATCTTATGGTATGGAACAACAGCCTCAGACTCAAGGAAATGGCATGGAACAAACACAGCAAATTCAACAACCCGAGTATGCAGAACAAGGTATTCTATTTACATAAATTATTATAAAATACGAAATTGTTCTTAAATCAAATTGTAATTATATAGGTGCCTCAACACCCCGTGACCTGCTGATCTTTTGTAATTACCTACTTGTCCTTGTATTCTTTGAGAATTTTGAAATTTGAAATAACACGTAGCGAACCGCCGGAGACTGACTGAATACCACATTCAGTTACCTATAAAATATTTCTCCTAAAGAGAGCTATTTAGGTACTCATGCTTGTTCTCAGTTCTGGTAATTTATGGCACAATTCTTAAGATTTGTTTATTCTTTATTATTTACAGATGTAACCTAAATGTCTTTTTTTTTCACTTAAAATGGGTTACTTACATACGTACTGTCCCAGATGTTTGCTATAGAAAAATAGTTTTCAATATTCTTAGGGGGTATCTACCTATTCATAAAATCTCTATAGGTAATTACATTTTGGTAAAAACGCAAAACACATTAATTAATTAGTGGTCATGAAATTTTCACGGAACTCTTTAAATGCAATACGCGATATTTTATATTATCTCAATAATCTCCCTACGAATTATCAAGACCATCCCCGGACCCCAAAGGTGAAAACAAATGCTTGTCGATTTGAAAAAAAAGCTGTCATCGCCAGGAGTCGAACCCAGACTTCAACGTTTTCCGGATGTGCATTCTTACCGTTAGACTATCAACGACATTGACTGTCGAGATTCCTAAACGGAAATTTGAAGGGTTAGTTCTAGCCAAACGATATGAGAAATTTCTCATATATACCGATGCTGTATTGGAGGTGTTTGTAGATTTAAGAAAGAACCTAAACGTCGTTTGGCTTAATATTTTTTTTAAGGGTTCAAAGTATTAAAAAAGGCTAAAGCTAAAAGAAGACTCTGTAGAAAAAGTAAAACAATTTTTCCCAATTATTTTTCTATCCTCGTATATAATGATCAATATTATTTCATTAATTTAATTCATAAAAAATAGTTCCTCTATATTAAAATAGTAATAGATTTACATTTATTTTTAGGAATGAATAACTTTGGAATGGCATGGTCTCCAGAAAAATACCAAGACAGTAAGTAAATAAAAATTTACTTCTCTTCTAGTTTTAACTTTAATTGGACTTTCAGTATTTCAGCATCTTTTTATTATTTTTTTTATCTTCATTAAATAAACAGCCGGTTGAAAGAGCTTTCATTGAATATTGGATACTCTATTAAATTTAACAAAGTTTAGTCTGTGAATAATTTGAAGTTCATGTCATTGAGACACATCACATTCTCAATCTCCAATAAAATTTAACAGAGTATCAACATTTAAAGAACGTTTTGCAACGGGCTGGACTGTAAGACTACTTAAAGAAATATATTTATATAACCGTAGTAAAAATTAGTTCGCAGGATTTTTTCCAGTAACAACACTTGCCCAGAGTCCATCCCTGTTTTTGTTAAGAACGCTTTATCTGTAGTTTTTTATTTGATCAGTAGAGTAAGCTAGATCGTAAAACATTGGAAAACAACTTGTAGGTTTTGCTAATCAGCTTAGCGGACCCGATTTGAACCAAGCCACGACAGATCCCACCCCGTCTGCACCTACCCCGCAACCCTCTAGGCCAATTCAACCGGATTATTACAAACCTAAGGAATACGACCCTGCTGCCCATGTTAATCCGCTAGTTAAACCAGGTGAGAGCACTTTAAATATCACTAAGCTTTATCGAACATTTACGATTTTTTTGGCGACAAAACTAATTAGGTTTGGTACATACATACAGGGTGTCACAGAAATTATTAGGCGGTTGAAAATTAAAAATCTAGATTTACTATAATTTCATATTCTACATTTTAACTAACATAATAAAATGAAAATAAATATAATATAATCAGTGTTCCAACAAGAGTTTCCGAATGATAATAATAAATAAAAAAGTTTTAGAAGATCATCGGCTGGCTGTAGCTCCTGTGTAATCTGAACCAGCCATATTGTCATTTTGTTGTCTTTTTTTTTATTTGGTGTCATTTGCATCAACTACTAAGTTTATTAGCCTCGTGTTCTGTACAGGCTTTGTTTTTGTTTCCCAGTGCCACTTTAGAAACAGCACTGTTAATTAGAACCCAACAGTGAATGGTCGAGTTGGGAATCCTACCAAGGCATCAGAATTAATTTTAAATAATTAAATTAAGGTACTTCACTCGTAAAACGGCTTTTCTTAAGAATTCAATAAAATTGAAATATAAGGTTAATAAAAAGGTCTTTTATGTAACTAAAAAAAATTAAATTTTTTGACCGTCTGTGAAACGAGATATTAACAATCAAAATGTGCATAATTAACACTCTGGAAGCCTCTCATGTACACAAATAATGCATTTATTTCAAGATATCTCGAAAACGGTTCTTACCATATTTTTTAAAAACCAATGTAATGTAAATCAAGAAGTTATAAAATTTTCTAAAGAAACGCTGAATTTTTTGACCGTCTTAGTAAAAAGATATAGATTTTTAAAATAAAAATATTTTTAAAGCAATCGACGCGTAGTTGCGTAAAATTATTACAACTTGGCAGCGTTGTATACGCTGCAATCAACGCGTTGTACCAAAATAACACTCGATCAGCTAAGAGGATGTTATAACCTCGCGACGTTTTCTTGAAAAATTAATTCGTCCACTGTATTTGAGATCTGGAATTAGCGGTTCTGTTTGAACCAAAACAAACCCTTAAAATTAATAAGAGGAAGTCACAAATTTCTATAGCAAACCATTCCTATATTTATGAGGTTGCCGGATGGATTTTATTAAAAGCCATAGGTATATATAAGCTTACATGTGTTTTGTACAGTTTCTTACAAAAATAAAATTGATTAGCATTGAGAATCGAGAACTGTTGGTATTCACCATTAAGCGATATTTTTATGTACGACTGTCGCGAGTGATGTTTTGGAAATTAGTGTTGCCTACCTATTAGGAACCATTGCAGTTTTGAAGGCGTGCCTGCGCGCAGTTTCTAAATGTTAAAAACAGTAGCGACTTGAATTCGAACGTGAAAAGAATAGATTACGGTCTTACAATTATTAATATTCTTTCGATATTTCTTTGCCGATTTCGGATGCTAATAATAATCACCTTCCTTTCTATTCCTTCTATTTTCCCTCCATAGGTAGTGAAACCCTAATATTTGAGAACATCATTTCGGTTGTGTACATTTTTTATACGAGGCTTTAAATAAAAAAATCCTGGCCAATGGTGGGATTCGAACCTGGGACCCTTGGATCCGCAGGCAGAGACTCTACCACTGAGCCACCCACGCCAATGTCTAATTGTTGTGAATTACGTTCAATGGACATTTGGGGATTATCAGTTACACTTGGACGAACAGCCTTAATATTATTAATCGAACGACCTAGTTGTTCACGTTTTGGTGTTTTGATATCTTGCACAAATCCTGTAAATATAAGGATTTTGCCTACCCCTTGAGAAAATACTCGAATGGCTCTACGCTCGGTCGGTTACTCGGGAGTCACATTATTTGTAGTTGTTACGGTCAAAGATGATATTTCGGTCTTTAACGATATTGGCCGGTCATTTTCGTAAATCTCCTATTTGATTGGGCATTCTGCTGACGTTAGTGTCCAGTCAATATCGTCAGTGCCCAATTTACAACACTGCCCGTAACATAGTGATTTATTTCACTAACTCTTAAACTGCGTCCAAAGTACTCGGTCAGCTTCAGATGGAGGTTATTTAAGACTATCTAAAGTACAAACCTTTACCAAGTAATATAGAAAATACCAACTGGAAAGGCTTCAAGTTATACAAAATTACAAGGTTTTGAAAAATCAATTTGCGGTTAATCGGCTTTTTAATTAATCGATTATTTTTAATTAATAGAATATTTTCGATTTTTCAAAGATTATCGAATAATCTATTTCAAAGGAAATGTGAACAAAAGATAAATTATTTGGAAACAATCGATTATTTAAAATATTCGATAATTTGTTTATTATTTTTTTGGAAACGATTTAAAGGTTAAACGGTTTTTTAATAAATCGATTATTTTAAATTTTTCAAAGATAATCGAATAATCGATTTTAAAGTAAATACGAAAAAAATAGATGGTTTGAAAATAATCGATTGATCGAAAATAATCGATTATTTTCAATGATAATTTATTTCGATAATCGCATCAGAATGACTTTTATTAGGTTTAAATTATAAAACGTTATCCGGTTTCAGATATATGAATTTCTAGAGATTTATGTGACACATCCTTTAAATTAATTAACATTCCCAAAGAAAGAAGCTTTAATATACCTTCTCCTGAGGTTACTATACAAAACAGCATTTTCTCATTTTAACTACTATTATGTAATAGCCGTAGAAAAAATATAATGTTCAACTCATAAGGTTTGATTTGCAGTATTCGCCTTCGCACATGCTGCTATTATAATACTCGTAGACAATTAGTACCATTCATTGCTCGATTAACAATATTTTATTTCAACATTTTATTGTAGTCCATAGTAAATAAAAGCTAATGAAATATCCTATAAAAGAACTATTGTCTTCTCTTTACATAAATTGTCGTTGCATCTGTTTGACATTAAAAAATTACGTTAATTTTATTTCATAATACAACATTCCATTATTAAACACCTCTTTAGTAATCTAATAGTTGATTATATATAATGGTAATAAACAAAGTTCGTCCCTGTCACAGAGTTTGGGTCTCCTTCCAATTCCCCCACTCCGTTAACCTTTCTTTAGAAATACGCTCTTTTAGTGATGATGTAATTATGGTTCCACTGACAAAGTGACAGTAGATTTTTAGAGTGCGTTTTGTTCGTTTTGTTTACCTAAATTATATCGTTTTTTCACTTTTATAAATATATTCCTAAAGTAAGTAGATAATGTGCATCAAATATACAATCGTTTAGTTACCAATTACATACCTTTTAACTATTTTGTATGACCTGTAAACAATATTTAGAAAGAAAAAACTAAAAACATCAAAAACGTATGTCAAATTTATTGGTTTTTGTTAAAAGTTTGGTTAGAATTAAATGTCAGTGGAACCAAAATGACATCACACTAAACTGGCGTATTGGCAACATTTACGCAGGTTAAACACCCATGTGTCTTACATCTATATAAGATCTCTTCAATCTAAGGATCTAAGGACAATACTTATAAATCATATAGTGATTTACATTACAATAAAATAAGTAAACCGTAAAGTCGCTTCCCGATTATTTCAAATCCATAGATTCCTAACCGATTGTGAATAAAATAATAATCCTTGTCTAAACTTATGGTTCTGTTCCAATTTTAATAACGTTTTATGAATAACGTGAAATTATTATATAAAAAAAACATTTTAAATTTAATTAACGTATCTTTTTTTAACAGAAACAATTTATTGCGATATATTTCATTCAATGATCTATTCCAAATACCCGCGTTTACTCTACCTCTCAAAAATTATGACTCACCGAGATATTTTAGAGATTTTAACACCCTGTAACCAAACTAATTGAGTACGCTCCTGCAAAGGTTCAGAGGAATTTAAATTATTTAATTTTTGATTAGCCTCGTATTTTTTCCAATATTTCTTTTAACTGCGAAATATTTGCTGCGCCAAAATCTTGAACTCCCGGTATTGATTCGATATATTTTTACCGCAACATATATTTGAATTCTTGACAATAGATAAAATTTACCTACTCATACAATAATAACAGGAACCTGACAAAAATATACTATTTTTAAATATAAAAACACTCATTTTGAATTAGAAAAAAGTTAAGTAAAAAAAAAACTAAATAAAAAACTTACCTAGGTAGGTAGTTGTCAATGGAATTCCAGTTCCATAACAGCAATTGGTTGCACTAATAATCACTAAAATTGTCACAATTTAATCACAAATTATAACAAAAAGTTAATTCACTTTATTAAAGAATAATTAACAGTAATTCAAAAAGAATCGAGACATAAATCATTGTAACAACAAAATGGCGCGATACAAAGGCTACTAGATTTTTATAATAATTTAAAATCTAATTACGCGATTGGTCGGTGCTACTGGTGCTAGTCATGCGTACGAATATCCACTTATGACTTGAACTGTCTATAATACGTAGTTGTCAGATTGTGCAAAATATCCGTAAACTAGAGAAATACACAATTAAATTAATGAAAGATGAGTGTAGTAATATAACATTTATTTTTTATTTTAGAAGCAGGAGGTATCTATACAACTGCAGTGTGGGGCTTAGTGTTTCCAATACATTGGTTATGCAGGAAAACAATGCCGGATTGCAGAAGCGAAAAATATAGAAACTGGTATCCATTTACTTTCTTCGTATCAATGGTTTGGATTTCATTCTATTCCTACTTTATGGTTTGGATGATTACAATTATAGGTAAGTTTTCTTTAAATTAATATTATTTCAAGAAAAAAATAGTATAGTTCAAACATTTGGACAATACAAACCACTTTGTTAGGAGCGCCACGCAAATAATAATAACCGTCCCTTCGTAAGGGGGTGATAGGGAGAGTATTATTATTATTATTATTATTATTATACAGGATGTTCCTGAAATTAGTGTATTCCTTTAACGGGCGGCAAAATTCAGAATCTACAAAGTTTCATAGAGCCTGCGTATCTCCAAAACGGTAAGATGTTATAAGAAAGTAAAAAATTTAAACTGTAACTATTTATGAGAAGAGTTTCAAAAAAATTGTAATCTGACGAAAAATGTCCTGTTTTTTGAAATATGTGTAAAATTGAAACCAAACGTCAACAAATTGCTCTCAAAATTATTTTTAAACAAGAGTATTGCCCTTGCATGCATTAGTACTTCTACCCCATTCTGCCTTTTATTCACCCCGGGTTTTCGAGGGAAAAAAATGTAAAAATGGTCAACGAAATTTACTGCATTTACGCGAACAAAACATGAAAAAGGAGAATGGGGTAGAACTACTGCGAATAAAAAATGCTTGTAAGAGAGAGTCATACAAACATTTTGAGATTAATGAAACCTCTCCACGACTTTTGGTTCCCATTTTACATCTATTTTAAAAAAGCTCACTTTTATTCAGGTTGAATTTTTTTTTGAATATCAACCCTTTCGCACACATAAAAAATCTTAGATTCAGGAAAAAAACGAGGGACTATGGAGCTTGAGATTGTGTTACATCTGAATGACATATAAACTTCAAATTATTCAATCCAATGAAGACTAGAGATAAGGGGGCAAATCGGCGTACTCAAAATACGGTCCCAAAAAATGCACGCAAATTGAGCTTTTATAATTAACCACATGGGCGCTGGTACTGGTAACGGTGTTCAAAATACATAGATTCTTATGGCAATTATACATAATTTTGTCAAAATAATAAAAATAAACTTGTTTATAACTAAATAAAGCACAGAACATACTGTTGAAGTCTTGCATGTTTTAATTGATAAATTATTTAATTTTATCTATATAAAATACAAATTAGGTAGGTATGACCAAATTCGAAAAGGTTTATTAAATGCTGAAATTTGATAAATACAATTTTGTGGCAAACTTTTTTTGAATTGAACCTATATATAGTTTTAAGAGCAAAATAAAACATAGTTAACATATTTTTTATTGTTTTAATACAAGCATAAAGGGAGATTTGGGAATGTACATTGTATTACCTCATCCTTTAATTTTAGCTTTTCCCTTTTTATTTTGCTAACAGTACCATCAGTAAAAGTAGTCTCATAATATTTGATAATATATTCTAAAAAGTATAGAACAGTATCATCTCTAGAAAGTGCTTTATCGGCACTAGAAACGATATATATGCTGCCACTGTTCTAAGCCTTTATTATACTATAAAAAACATTTACAATGACAAAATTGGGGTACAACAAAAAAATAACAGTAGCAACTCTTTATCGAACATTAAAACTCTATAAAAAACAAATTTTCTTTTCTAGTAAGTTAAATTTAATGTATAATTATTATTGTTTGCAAGTCAGGATCCATGACTGTAAAATTTTATATTATAGAAACTTGTAAGTAATAAAATAAACTACGCTCCGTAAGATATATTATGACTAGTTTACAATAAATATTATATTTAGACATAAATACATTATTTTACTTACATTAAAAGCTTTAAAAAGACATTGAATTGCTTTCTCCTTGTGTTTTCTTTAGTTTTACGTTTGATTTGTATCCTGTTTTACAATCTGGAACAACGTAAATCTTGCTTTGATGTTTTTTGTCACTCATGTTACTTGTACTCAGGTACTTTTTTCATATTATTTTGATTCTTTTCACCAATTTTTTAAAAAATCACTTCATTTTATATTGACTTACATAGAAAATTGACACCGCTGCTATTCTGCCAATTACAGTCAATTTCGCGAACTTTATAAAAAGAAGGATGGAAAATTGATCATTGCCGATTCGCCTCCTTCTCTCTAGTCTTCATAATCCAAACATCTATTAAATTTTATCAGCCTATTAAATTTTAATGAACATTTTCTAAATTTTGATATATTTTTCTAGGTTATACCATGGGTATTCCTGATACTGTAATGGGATTAACGTTTGTAGCAGCAGGTGTTTCTGTACCAGACGCTCTGTCAAGTGTAGCAGTAATTAAGGAAGGGTAAGTTGCACGTGTCAATAGATGTACATACTAACTACTCATCAACTTTGAATAAAAAAAATTGTATCCAGATCCGAAAATATTTCAACACCATTCTCCATTCACCGAGAGCATAAATTTAAAGAAATGGGTGATGAATAGCATATGAACATTTTGATGTTTTTAAATGTAACAGTAATTGAGAATTGATTCTAATATATTTTTGTTTTGTAGTTATGGTGATATGGCGGTTTCAAATGCTGTGGGAAGTAATGTCTTCGACATATTGATATGTTTGGGTCTTCCATGGTTTATAAAGACAGCGATAATAAAACCTGGAAGTTCAGTCAATGTTATAAGCAAAGGTAAATAGCATTTCTATTAGCGATTCTGATGAATATTTAAAAGAAATGTTTGTATGTAGGTATAGTCAAGGGTTAGCAACCGTAGCTATATTAATTTAAGGATTTTCATAAAATGGCTTTAATTATATTATTAATATTTCAGTTAATTTATCAGATTTTATAAAAATGAGTTGATAATCCTGACGTGCTCGCTTGTAATTAGTGATATTTGTGTAGTCATTCGTAATTTTTTACTGTTCGTGTGCATTAACTGGTATTACGCGTTAAATCCTTGCTTGTGGAAACTTAGCTTAACTCAATTTTTTTTTTTTAGGTCTTACATACTCTACTCTGTCTCTCCTTTCCACGGTGGTATTCTTAGTCGTGGCCACTCACATGAACGGGTGGAAATTGGACAGACGTTTCGGCATCATGCTGATGGTTTGGTACTTGATTTTCATAACTTTCGCCAGTATGTACGAATTGAACGTGTTCGGTTACATGAACCCGCCAGAATGTCCAACTGATTGGTAAATCAAAAAATGTATGCTTATGAACGTCTCATTGTTACCTTGTTAACGGGTGTTAAGTTTTACAACGGTGTTTTTCTCTTTTCTCCCATTTTCTACACTTATTGCACATAAAAAAGGTCAATATATTAATGTAGAATCTAATTATTTAAAGTTCTAACAGATTCCAAACTTTCACAAATATTATTCTAAATACGAATTATAATTTTGTTAAAAAATAAAAATATAGAAAAACACTGTCATAAAACTTTATACCCTACTTTAATAACCGAAAAAAATATCAACAAAAAAAAATCAATGTTAAAACTTTTTATCTGGTAGATGTTATTATAGTTGTTAAATGGTCCCAAAAAAAAACATATTTAGGACTTAAATTTGAAGTGTGCTATGTTAATATAAGACTAATGTCCTGCTTTTCGACATAAGAAACCTTTAGATGTTTTAAAATGATTTAATTGTACCTACTAGAGACTTCTCTTGAATCGAGACATCCTATAGGCACTATTGTTTAATTAACAAATGTTTGTTACAGGGTGATTCTAAAAAAAGTTACCACATCAAACTAAGATGTAAACTAGGTACTTATTAACAAAATAAAAATAGAAAACACATTCCACATGGAAAATATAGTTAAGTTTCGTGTACAAAGATTACGTATTGATTCATAGTAGTGCGGTAATATTTGAATCATCCTGTAGGTTTTTAGATATTTAGATTGTCGTATTTCCTCTGTTCCTACTACTACTACTACGTTTACAATTATTATTTAGTTTTTATAAATAAATACCGATGTGATATTATATTAAAAATTGATGAGGTAATATTTTGGGACAAATTTGCAACTAGTGTTGAAGGTTCTTTTTTACCGTTACTTGTCAATTACTTCGTTTTATGTAAAACTTCGTTATTCTTTACCAACGCCACAATACCTTTTCTAATTTAGAATCCTTTTTTAATTCACAATTAATTTGAGATTTTTAGTATTTCCAAATATATGTGCTATTTTATTGCAGACTGCTTAAAACTAATGACAATCATTTTGTATTTTAAGAATCTCAAATAATACGAGAAGAAATTTTCATTCAATCCATCAATGCTCAAAAAGTGCTATTTTAATGAATACGATTATTTAGTTATTTATATGCAGACCCTGTAGTTAAACCAACAGTTTATATAGATCGTAAAAATAGCCTTTATAGCCAAAAGTTATATATTTTTAAGTGAAAATTTGTCTCTCAAAATGATATTACAAACCTAGAAAAAGCCTGTGTAAAATCTTCCCAGAAAGTCTTCTCCTCTGAAAAAAAATTGTGTTCCAATTATTAGTCCAATCAACGAATAGCCCAAAAGCGGAGGTAGAGTGTGTGATCAGGTACCTAAGAGATTTGACATCTAGGAGCTGAGCCAGAGGGAAGGAGACACAAAGAAGGTGCTTCTTTTGGGATTTTCGCTTATATCTCGAAAACGATGCATCGTAGAAAAACATTTTCTTATATTAAGTGAAAGCTGATAAAATTATCTACGACTTTTATTCCATACAGTTTTTTAAATTCCTAACCGTTCTAGAGCTGCACCCTTCGAAAATGTGAAAATTTTCGAAAAAAGACTTACCTTACATTGTGAAACAAGATTTTTTGTCCAATTCTACCAACAAAAGTCAGTTCATATCTTTACTACGGACAAAGCTTGAGGAGAATGGGATACAGACTCTCCAGGCCACCGATGATGCTGACGTCCTTATCGTGAAGACTGCTGTGGAACCATCCAGTCACAGTTCTGTGGCTGTCATTGGTGAGGATGTAGATTAAGCTGTTCTTTTAATAGCCTCCACAGCTCCCACATAAGACATCCTGCTGCTAAAACCCGGCCGAGGGAAAACTAAAACAATAGCACCGTCCCAAGAGATGCAGCAGCATAAATTTGAACACATTCTGTACTTACATTCATTTGGGAAAGTTAACACCAGATAATATACTAAACAAGATGTTAGAAAAGAAAGAAAACTGGAATACTGTTAGCAAGTACGCAAAACGTATCATAAAAACGAAAGAGAAGGATGTAATAGCACTAAATGTACAGGTATGGGTCAAAAACAACTAAAATATCGCTCTCCCGAAGCAATGCCTATAGCAGTACTAGGAGCAGCTACTTAAGAAGACCAGAGGTGTTTTAGTGGGTATACTGAGCGGATCTGAACGTGCCTAGGACTCTCCACACTATCATATTGCGATTGACCCAAGTAAAGGATGTCCTTAACGGATTTCATCTCTTAAAAAAAACTTACATTCATTTACCGGCTGCGACACAACATCTGGAACTTCAGGAGAAGCGAAGTGGGCTTTTTTAAATTGTACTTTAAGTCAGAAATTATCAAGGAAGTAGCAGTGGTATTTTATAAACCCTCCTCCACTCACGGCGAGGTTGAAGAGGCGGAAGATGTGATTCCTCAAATGGTATGGAGCATTAGGACAGTGGCAAATATTAAGCCTGACATCAGCTCCCTCCCACTAACTGAGAGCGCAGTTTCTTTTCTGGGACACCAGGCATATGGTTCTGCCCTTACCTGATAGTGTGGGACTCTCGGCAGAAGGGTGCTAGGCCGATATACCCATGCACTAAAACCACCTCATTTGTCGATAGTGGACCTCCTCGGATCTGCCGGCTGGTATTACTACAAGGTAGGTCGGACGTTGTTTGCTGTTGTCTATCTTTAATTTTTTAGCCTTGTATCCTCACTGCTTTCTCGTGGCAGCCACAATCATCACGGCCATCTTGTTAATGTTTTTCCAATATTCTTCTCTGGCTAGCATTTTGTCGGCTAGGATGTCTGGTGTAAGTTTCCCTGTAGTCCTCTCCGTGTCTGTTCTATTCTCTACCCATCTAATATATTCAAAGAATGTGTGTTCAGCTGTATCTTCCAGACCTCAATATGTACATTCGTCGGTGTCCACGATTTTAAACTGTTTTAAGTACGTCTGGAAGTTGCCATGTCCAGTTAGTATCTGTGTAATAAAGAAGTTTACTTGTCCCCATTTTCTATTTATCCATGGTTCGATGCGTTTAATCAGCTGTTTTGTCCATTTAGTCTTATCAGTTTCCAGCTCCCATTCTTCCCATTGTACTATAATCCGATCTCTTGCTTCCTTTTTTATAACCCCGTTCTGTATTAGTTTCTTCTCTTCCACAAACAAGTGTTCCTGCCTCCGTGGACGTTTTTCTATAGGCACTAGCGATTCTAATCGCGGCCTTTCTCTGGACACTTAGGAACATTTTCCGATAGATTTCTTTCTTAATGGCCCTTTCCCATATGCTAGCTCCATAAAGCATTACGGATTGCACAACTGTCCATAGGATTCTCCTACTGTCCTCTCGTGGTCCACCTACATTTGGCATTAGTCTAATAATATTTCTTAAAGCTTTGCTGGCCTTATGTGTTGCCCCATTCTCAAGTTTCTGTCCAGGTTAATCACTGCGTCTTGTACTTTAATTTTAATCGATTTTACTGTTCTACCACCTGCCAGTATAACTACCTCCGTCTTTTAAGGTACAATACGTAGTTCCTTCTCTTTTAGTCTATCTACAATTCTTTCGATTGCTTGGTGGGCCTTGTCTTTCAACTCATTTTCGTTCTTAGGCACTACAACTATTCCTAAGTCGTCTGCATAGCCAACTAGGGTGGCTCCTCGTGGGACAGGTAATTTCAGGATATCGTCGTAATACGTGTTCCAAAGGATAGGTCCTATAACAGATCCTTGTGGGACTGCACACGTTACGTCTATTTTGTAATTTTCTCCTACCATTAGGCTTCTATCTTCTAAGTAAGTGGCTATCAGATTGTATAGATATCCCGCGATTCCTCTACGCCTGAGGTCATCGAGGATTCCTTCTCAGGGGGCCAAGTTAAAGGCATTCCCGGCGAACCTACCGCTATGTGCAGAAATGGCTCGGGAATGAGCTTCCGCCTCAAGAGTGGGGATGACACCCTGGTGCCAATTACAACCGGAGGTCCTACTAAAAAAGATATTTTGCCGCTGCACCAAGGATTGTGGCAGTGGCAAATGTGGATGCTGGAAAGCAATGTTAAACTGTTCTCCGGCGTGCCTCCACTGCCAAGGGAAATGCATCAATGATGTGCCTGTTGACGAGGATGACGATGAAGACCAGCAATAATTACCCACCACTGAGGATGGTTTGAACAAAGAACCCTTGCCAGGACCTTCACGGCCAAAGAAGATCAAAACTTGAATCCAGAGAAAGTTTAAAATTAAATTAATCTTATATGTACTTTTTTTAAATCAATGCTTAGTCAAACGGTTGGATATTCGAAAAAGTGAATATATTGAGAGTTGTAGATATTTTAATTAGCTTTTACTCAGTGTAACAAAATGTTTCCCTAACACGTACCGTTTTCAAGATATTAGCGAAAAAGTGGGACCTTCTCTGTGCCCCCCTCCCTCCGGCTCACCTCCTAGATGCCAGGACTTTTAGTATGCTCACTTCCTGAGCACAAAGTTTCTAAAGAAATCGCTTAGGTACCTGCTCACGAATATGTTTGCCTTGATTAAAATTTGCCCAAAATATTCCAAAAGTTCAGTATTACACATACTGTTCAATAAGATTTCTTTTAATATGTTTATTGTATTTTTTTATAATAAGGGTATGCTATTAAAGTAAGAGCCTATAATATAGTTTTGTTAAGTAGATTTTATTTTCTAAATTTAATTCTGGTTCAAAACTTTCTTTTTTTGATAAACAATCTATAGTTACAAAATCTCTTTTACCATAAATATGATTCCTAATGTACAGTATGTGTTTTGTGATAGATTTTATTATTAGAACATAAGTTATTTAATGTGATTTGTTAAAACACAATAGAAAATAGAGTTGTTATTCTTTACTGTTATATAGGTCGACAATAAGTTTGTTTTGTGATCATCAAGTCTGTAATATTATATCAAATAATGATTTTTTTGTACAAAAAGTAGTTCAAAATTAGACTTCTAATTTTGGAAAACGTTTTTCCAAAGTCAATGTGGGTGAATTTTAAACTACTCAAGAATAATTCTGTGAATTTCTTTACATTTTATTTTTTATATTTATTTTTAATGATTCAATGTCAATGATACTATGCAATTACTAGTCTATGTAGGTAGTTACCTTTTAAATATATTCTATGGATACAATATAAACGCTAAAGTATTACAAAATTTATTCCAAAACTTGTTCACAAAATATTAATACAATGTTGGCAAACATTGATAACAAACATTTGTATATATAATAAAATTGAACTTGTTCGTTATGATTAGAACAGGTTTTTAGTTTTAAAAATTGCCAGACTTTTTTAACAAGTTTTGTGAATAAAATTGTTAAAAAAGACTTAATGTTACATCGAATGTTACCTGGAATGTTCCATCGGAAAAATGTATATATTTCTTCATATCGTCAAATTTTATTTTATTAACAATTTCATTTTATTTAATAAGAATTTTTAAATCGATTGATTTTGACTTAATTTTGTCCCAAAACTACTAATTTGAAATTCCCATACAGTTTATCTTCTTTATGTAATTAAAACTACATACAACAATGAAAGAAATATTTAAACAATTTAATGGGAGTTTAGAATTAATAATTTACACATAATTTGATATATTGATTTGATAGTCCAAATAAGTTTCATATAAAAGTCAATTTATATACAACAAATTTGTTAAATGTTTATATAAAATTCTATCAAAATATCTTAATGTATCTACTAATCAGTGTGCTTGGGACATATACCTATTATTTAAATAGTACTTCTTAAATTTTTTATAAGAATACGGGCTCTAGGAACTTAGTATAGAATTATTTTAATATCATGCCATCATATCATATAAAAAAAATCATTCCTGAATTACATTTTAATGTATGTCATTCAAAATTTTAAAATAATTTGTTCCTAGGGTCTAAAATAGTTAAAGAGTCGCAGTGACCACAGATTTGAAAAAAAAAAAGGTTTTAATATACAGGGTTGTTTAAAATTATCCCAAGATAACCAGAAAAACTGTTTGTACTACTATATCTAGCGTATAGTATGATCACACTATGGAAATATTAATCTTTAATCTAAAAAATTAAATTGCCCTGTATAATGACATCTACCATTTTCTGGGCTCCTTAACTAAAAAATACAAATTCAGTCATTTTCATACGAATTATTCAAAATAAAAAAATTCCTATATTTTTAATAGATAAGTATTAATGAAACATTTGACAATAATACAGCTTTACGCTTAATATATAGACCACCTAAGTATAAGTTACATTTTATGTCTACCTAAAAGTTATCCTATTTTTGACAACACCAAAATGGCGTAGCCTACACCGAGTATCCTGAGTTTATTTGTTTACTTGAATTATATAGAGATCCAACGAATATCGTAAATTCAAATTCAATAACTCTGAAAAAATATACGGATTTATATTATCTTATAAATTGTTAAAAATGTTGAGCACATGTTAAAAACTACTACACAAATTATTGTATTCCAAATTTTAGAAAACGCAAGTGACGTTTTTCAATATTATTGAATTTGAAATTATTTTTTTGATGGGTCCATATTATAACAACCAGCGACTATTTTTGCTTCGAAAAATTAAGAAATTTTGAGTCAAAATACTAGTAGTATTCAAGATAATATAAATTTCGCATCATCCATTTGCAACAAATTAAGAGAATTATGTACTCCAGATCGTTCGTCCAAAAAGGGCATAACTTAACATATCTTTTCAACAAAAAAGTTATTTTTTTAAAATTACTTGGCTTTCTAAAAAAAAAAAAAAAAATAATAACAAGACCATCAAAAATAACCAATATTAGGTATCAAAGAATTTCGGCCAATTAAGTTGTATGTATACATATATACCCATTAGATAGGTAATAATATTTCGTACCTGTATTGGTAATAAGTAATAACCTTCTCAAGGACAACCTGAGTTTTTATCCTTATTCAGGGAGACAAATCACAATTAACAAAGGACACAAACGCAAATCCATTATCGTCGTTAGGCAAAATATTAGGAAAATGTTATATCATCAGATAAGGAGGGGAAATATAAATTTCATCTATGAACAGACTGCATCGAGCGATTGAGTGCGAAGACTATGGGAAAATGAGTGCGAGATTCTCTCTCACGATTTGGCCTTGCTGCGCATGTCACTCGACTTAAATTATAAGGAATAATGTCAACAGCGAGAGCAGTGCTGCAAGACGTACCATCATAATCGTATTTGTATGATATACTGAAAAATGGCCCAATTTTTCGGAATTTTTATTTTCCAATTTACGAGCTACATTGAATTTCTGTTGCATACACACGTTTAATGCGTTTAATATTTTTATAATACCGGGTGTCCCATTATATTTTCCAACATTTAGCAAGCTTATAACTTTTAAACGAAAGTACTTAAAAACATGCGGTTTTCACCGAAATGTATCAAATTATTCCAAGTTTTATTTCGGTAAATCCAAAATTATTTAGCTCTTCCGGTTTACTGAAAAACAAAATAGCGGTTTTTTAAAGTCGTATTTGTTAATTTTTTTAATGAAACACCCAGTATATTTTTTAATGCTTCGAAAGCCAGCCCTTTTAGCTATCTGGCGATATAAAGTTTTTTGAAATCGATTAAGAAATGACTGAACAATTAAATTTTCTGAAAACGCCTGCAAAATCAATAATTAACAATAATTCTCATCAATAATTTTACAGTAGGCTTTGGTACGTTTGTAAGAAATGTCAAAATTGTTGTTTTAACTGTTCTAAAAGCTTAGACTAATGTTTCAAGTGATTCTTCTTACATTAAAATGTTATTTTCTGAAACAGAAAAGGTAAGTATCATAATTTTGCTGAAACAAAATCTATTATGCGAACAAGACGAAGGTTTTTTAGAGAATTTAATAAAACAGCACCGACATACAAGACAATAATGAAGTGGTTTAACATTTTCAAAAATAATGGATCACTAGCCCGAGAAAATGAAATATCGGCAATAATAATCTTTTACATGATACCATTGGTGTATACGAGTTTATTACTAGATCTGCCAAGTCATCTATCAGCGTCACAATTTAATATAAGTAGATCCAAAGTTCATAGAATCTTACAAGCACTGAAACTGAAATCTTATAAAATTCAATTACACCAAAAATTATACGAGAGAGACAAAGAAAAACATCTATATACGAGTATGTGTGAAACGTTATTGGACTTGATAAGAAACAATCCTGAGCTCCTTTTAATAATGTCTGATGAAGCAAGTTTCCATGTTAATGGAGCCGTCAATAGACACAATTGTAGAATTTGGAGTGAAGAGAATCCACATGAATTTTATGAAAGTGTAAGAAAGAGACTCTCCTAAAGTGAATGTTTGGTGTGCTGTGAGTAAATACAAGATTTACGGGCCATTTTTTTGCCGAAAAAACAGTTACCGGTCCAATTTATACGGACATGTTAGAAATATTTTTTTACCCGCAAATTGACCAGGATGGAGAATTACATGAAATCTATTTTCAACAAGATGAAGCACCATTCATTATTCACTGATTGCTCGTCAATCAGTTTCTAATAAATTCGGTAATAATTGGATTGGTAGGACAGGACCAGTTGAATGGGCTCCAAATTCGCCAGACCTAACAGTGCCAGATTTTTTTATTTGGGGATATGTTAAAGCTTTAGCTTATAATCCGGCACCTCAAAATTTAGAAGAGCTAAAAGATAATATACGTCGAGCATTTGAAAGTATTAACATGTTAGGAAAAGCATATACAAATTTATTAATAGGTACGTTTACACAATTGTGTTAATGTAAACGGAGGACATATAGAACATTTAAATTATTCTTAAATTGTTTAATAAAAGTTTGTTCAAATGTTAAATAAGTTAATTAGGCTATACTAGAATATCATTAATAAGCAATAATTATTGTTGACTATTGATTTTGAATACATTTTCACAAAAATTATTGATGAGAATTATTGTTAATTATTGATTTTGCAGGCTTTTTCAGAAAATTTAATTGTTCAGTCATTTCTTCATCGATTTCAAAAAACTTTATATCGCTAAGGACTGGCTTTCGGAGCATCAAGAAATATACAGGGTGTTCCATTAAAAAAAATTAACAAATACGTCTTCAAAAAAAAAAACGCCATTTTGGTTTTCAGTAAACCGGAAGTGTTAAATAATTTTGGATTGACCGAAATAAAACTTGGAATAATTTGATACATTTCGGTGACAACCGCATGTTTTTAAGTACTTTCGTTTAAAAGTTATAAACTTGCTAAATGTTGGAAAATATAATGGGACATCCGGTATATAAAAATAGTTTTAATTACAGGGTGATTCACAAATGATGGTGGGTGGGGTTTTGCTTACCTGTAAATCAAATGGCACCATCAATCATCTTTAAGTCGCCCCGGAGCCCCACGGCAAATAATAATAATAATAATAATAATAATAATAGCCGTCCTTTTCCCCGGACAAGTTCAGCTTTTAGGGTTAAAATTCACTCGTAAAGGGGTGAATTTGGGAGAGTATTATTATTATATTATTTTTTCAAAAAGTACTACTCGATATGATATTTTGTGGACCACATATTGCGCACATTTCTTATACAGGGTGTTTTATAGTGAGAACCACAAAATAAAATTATTTTTTTAAGTATTACTTATGAATTGATTTTTGGGAAAAGTAAAAGCTAGATTGTCTTTATATAGAATATATAAATTGAATATAAGTTTTGGCGAGATGTCCAATACAGTTAAAACAGTTGCGGCTTGTAACCAAAATATTGGTGGTTCACAATGACAGAATATAGATATCAGTACAGATGTAGGTAAACAATTGTCAGTGTTTTAGAAAGGTATATAGGTATAGAAAGGTATATAATACCGAAGTCTCTGAAAATTTTTTACCTTCATCTGTACTAATACATATCTATATTCTGTCATTGTGAACCCCCAATATTTTGGACACAAGCAGCTAATGGTTTAAAATAATTTTTACGGGGTGCTTCACGAATAAATCACAATAATATATTTTTTGCAAACACTGAATAACTACAGTTGCGGCACAGATAGATTATTTCATTATACGGGGCGAGCCATCCAGCCAACCACCAAAAAATAATTACGTTTTGAAATTATTAAAAAAACGACCTTGCATTTCTTTAGTGACTTTTGTTGCCAAAATACCATATTGTGTAGTGTTTTTTTAAAAATATGCCTCCCTGACGTCACAGTAAAATTAGTGAGATTTTGGAAAAACTACTATCATACATTTGTGAATCACCCTATAACTAAAAATATTTTTTATTATACGTATGTATTACTAAAAAATGAAGTAAACGTATGTGCATACAACAGAAATTCAATCTAGCTCGTAAGTTTGAAAATAAAAATTTCGAAAAACTAGGCAATTTTTAACTTTAACACCCTATATAACGAAAACTAGTCATAGGATTAAGTTGAGCCTATTTACACTTTTGGTTACTAGGTTGAGAATAGTAACATACCAAAGTTTTAGAAAATTTGACTGGTCGCCACTTCACATAAGGAAATACGTGCGATATTCTTTGGATACTGGATGTGTAAGTTTTAAACCTACATATAAAATGATAAAATTCATGACATTTTTAAAAATGTATAGACAAAAACAATTTGAAGATCAAAATCAGAAAGGATTACATGATTACAAGAAAAAGAAATTATTTTTGAAACCCTAGCTGAACAAGAATAGGTTGTTATGTAGAAGTAACATTACCAATATGAATAACTTTCTTTTTATTTCGAAGCAAAATTCGTCGTTAACAAGATGAACAGGCGTATCTCAAAATTACAAGATTTGAGTAATTACAGATTAAATATTTTTATTAACTTCATCTGGATTTTTTTTAGCCTTAAAAATGCTATTAACATAAAATGGTATGTCAATGCAAAATATAACGCATATAAATATATATAAATTCTGAAAATGCCTTTTGATGAACCTAACCAAAATCCAGTAATTTTTGAGATACGCCCCTTCGTCATGTTGGCGACGAATTCCTGGCATTTTATTATTATTTCTTGAATAGAAAAGGAAGGTACTTTGATTTAAATAGTTGCTATTTTAATTCTGATAGATTTAAGATTAGATCATCTATATTAAAAATAAAAGTATTAACACAAAAATTCACTTATTGAATTCAACTTAGAATAGATATGAAACTTTTCGTAAAAAATAAGGATTACGATATAATGCCCCTTCCAGAACGCCTTCAAAGTTAGTACAAATAGAAAAACAATCGCCGAATCTGAAGATTTAGACATTTGTGGAAAATTTTTCTGATAAAAATATTAAATTAGAGATTTTTTGTACTGTTAAAAATGTAAAAGCAGAATTTAGATCCGACAATAGCTATGCATGAAACCAGTTACGAAATGCCTTATTTTATGTAATGAGTGAATATTTGCGGGACGAGTTACATAAAACGGCATTTCATAACGTATTACACAACAATTTTTACTAGATTATTTATAAAATTGGGTTTTGGTAAAAAATTACTGACATCTAGACAACCGATATTACTACTTTCTTGTATTCTTAGTTGCCTATGATTAACTTCATTATTTTATTGACAAATTAAAAAAATCATATTAATTTATTCTCAACGACTTATATTGCTTGTTAAAGTTATTTACATTTCAAGAAAGTGGGTTATTTTGTCGTGTATTGTGTATGAACTATTCTGTACTGATTTAGAATGGAAAAATGATAATCAAAACAACATTATTACTAGGTTGTAAGTTTAACCAAATTCCGTTTTTATATAGTTTTCTAATATTAAAATTTTCTATAAAAATATCCCTTTATTATTTAGATTTTTCTTTTAAAAATATTAATTATATAATGGGTTTTGTGTTTTATTTTCTACGATTAAAATTTAATTTTAAGTTTTTTTTTTTAAATGTTAGTTAATGTGTGTTTTAGAATTTTTTTTGTTACTTTTTAGTATTATAAACTTTGTTTTCTACAAATTTCATTTTATTTTTGAAATCTACCGTTTTTTGCTGAGATCTACCGATTTTTCTCGATAATTCTACCGATTTTCGGTTGACAGGGCCCGACGACTCTGGCGTTAATATGACATCGGTTTTCCGACACTGACACTTGGCTAACTTTAGCAAAATCGACCTAGGTCTTAAAACTAAAAATGATGTGAAAGTCAAAACTAAAGGAAAGTTTATGTGGTGATCGCAATGTCGCCACATTATAACCTGGTAATAATGTAGTTTTGGTTCTTATTTTCCATTATAAATCAGCACAAAATAATTAAAACCCAATACACGACAAAATAACCCACTTTATTTTAAATTAATAAGTTTAACCACAGACATAGATAGAGGAGATAGGAAATGTCATTTTCATCAGACATGTAGAATTGGCAATCTTTTAAAAAAAATCTGATGTGTCCAACACATGACTTTCCTATCTAGTTATTATAGGCATTTTCCGGTTATTTTGTACAACCTATTGCAGCATCTCTATAAATGTTTAGAGGATATATACATTTTACACATACATATACCTCGAAACATTTTTCTATATTCATTGAAAACGAAAATACAGAAAAATTTAATTTTAGCACTTTTCCATTACGGTCCATTTTAGAAAAATCATGTATAAACAAAAATTATAGAAATCGATATCGCAAACAACTTTTAATTCAACAATTTTCATAAAAATCAGAATTTTGCACATTTTGTCAAATTTCTCGAATACGGACCATTTCAGGAAATTTTGACATAAAGCAAAAATTATAGATAATAATATTAGAAGTAACTTTTATTTGAACAATTTTCTTCTCCAAACATAAATAACAGATATATTCCATAAAATATAAAAACGGCCTCCCATAAAGTACCCCCCCAGATGTTCCGACTTTGTCCAAAATCTAATCATTTCACGTCAGGCCGAAATAAACCTTAAGTTTAAAATTTAATGATTTTTCCTTTATCCGTTTTTGAGTTTTCTTCAAATTTCGAAATTTACACATTTTCTCAAATATCTCGAATACGGTCCATTTTAGAGAAATTATGTATAGGACAAAAATTATAGAGAATTATATTACAAACAACTTTTATTTAAACAATTTTTATAAAAAATTTTGTTTTTTACATTTTGTCAAATTTCTCGAATACGGACCATTTTAGGAAAATTTTGCATAAAACAAAAATTATAGATAATTATATTAGAAGTAACTTTTATTTGAAGAATTTTCTTCTCCAAACGTAAATAACAGATATATTCCATAAAATATAAAAATGACCACCTATAAAGTACCCCCCCAGATGTTCCGACACTGCCCAAAATCTAATCAGCTCATTGGACGCTGAAACAAAGCTTAAGTTTAAAATTTGGTGTTTTTCTGTGTATCGGTTCATGAGTTATGCGTTATACAGACACACACACAGACACACACACACACACACACACACAGACACACACACACACACACACACACACACACACACACACACACACACACAGACATCATCGCGAAAATAGTCAAAACGGATTCAGGGGACCTCAAAACGTAAAAATCCGTCGAAAACTCGAGGTCGAAAAAAATCATGATTCCTATACTTTCCTTATATCTGTATACAGATAGGAAAGTAAAAAGTGACCCACGCGCTTGCGCATTGATTGTATATTGAAGTGTACAGGATAGGGCTAACACATTTAAAAATAATTCGACAATATTAAGGATTTAATTACACAATACTTACACTAATAACCATAAAAATTCGTAAAAGAACTTTAATTTTCTTTTTTATGGACTTTAAGAGATTTATAAAAATAAAAACATCAGTCTTTTTGAAACTTAATTTAAACTTAAATAAAAACAAAACATATTTAAAATACCATTTCATATAAAATAAATACAACAATCCAAGGCCGTAATATATTTTATAGCAAATAAATCTGGAGTCACGTGATTTAAAGAGAACTTTCATATTAAAAAATATATATTTTGTATGTAAATTTTTACATGGGAATATTGATTGCTCAGATTTTGAAAGTATTTTATTTCATATAAATACTACAAAACTACAAATGTATTTGAAATATCGTTCCACAGTACTATGGCATGTACTTGAGCGTACATTAAGACTCATCAATCAAAATAATTTAGAGATTATGGTCATATTCGTTAGTAACTTTAAAACTATTATAAGAAACATCTAGTCAAATATTTTATTAAAAAAGGAAAATAAATCAAAACTTAAATGTGACCAAAACGTAAAATAAATGAAAACAAGACATTCTCTATGCCATGTGTTACAAAATAAAACAAGCCACCGTTTCCCTTTAGAAAACAACTACCCCTTTTCGTTTTCTAGAAAATATAGTCTAAAAATGTTATAAATAAAGAATACGGTTCTGGTAGAAAATATGTCTTACTTGTGGAATGTAATGTTTTCTGAATCCTCGTTGTTTAAACAACCAAAAACAAAGCACGTCTTTCCCATTTTATTAATTGTCTGTAGTAAAAATTTCTAAAATTCTTTTAAATTCACTAAAATAGCGAAATTCGAAAAAAAAAAACAAGAAGAGTTGACATAAATGACACTTCTGTCGAAACACTACAGCAACTGCGCATGTGCATGATACACTTAAATTGCAAACATGGTGGCCTACATAGCATGCTTATTTTGAAACACCAAGGAAAATGGCGTTTTCCTATCTCCTCTAATCAGTTTAACAAGTAATATAAACACACAAGTCGTTGAGAATAAATTAATACGCTATGTCGATAAAATAAATGAAATGCATATGCAACTAACAATGCAAGAAAGTAATATTGGTTACCTAGATGTCAGTAATGTTTTACCAAAACATATTTTTATAAATAATCTAGTCAAAGTTATAAAAAATATTGTATGTAACAAGTTACGAAATGCCTTTTTATGTAACTCGTTCATTTTGCGGGACGAGCAGAAAATTCACTCGTTTTATAAAATAAGGCATTTCGTAACTGGTTGCATAAATAGCTATTTCTAAACCAGTTTCATAAAGTTCAACATTGGTTGCGTAAAGTAGATCATTTTGTGACTTCCTGCGATTACAAAAAATGTCACTTTAATATATCAAAATTAGAAAAAGTATTTTATTGTATCAACTGTCAACTTGTACAAAAAAGTTTTGTTTGGAACGAACTAGACAAGAATATTTAAAAAATAAATATTCATGATTAATTTAGCAAACTATTATGTACCTTCCTTAAAACATATCACTTGCTATAGTAAAAAGCGATCACCGGTGATATGTTGAGAAAAAATAGAGTTTATTTTATTCAATGATTTTAATAGTTATTTATCAAAATAATTGCTTTATAATAATAGAGATAGATGAAGGATATGGTTCTTAAGACTTAAAAAGATACCATCGAGCCTAGGTTAGAGAGGAAAAAATAGTCTGTTGTAATTATTTGACCAAACATAATCTCTATATTATTAACCAATGCTAGAATGTTACTAATAGAGATTAACATTAACTACACAAATATTTGTGTTTTGAAAAAATATAAGTCATAACAATGTAGGCTATTTATATTTTAGTTTTGATTCGAGAAAACTACGAACAAAAAGATATTTCGAGAAATATACCTATACATATAAAATGTATAACAGTTTTTTAACAGCTTATACCATTATTGTTTTAATAGAAGTTAATCACAGAAATTTATTGATTAAGGATCTAGTTATACACATTTTATTATTGTAGCAAAATGTGTAACCAAAAAGTAGCACTTTTTAAATCTACAAAAGTACAGCAATCAATTTTTATTTTGTTAAAAGCATTTTAGGATTTAGTAAAAGTCTAGAAAGTACTTATTTACAAAAATTTAAATAACTTGACCATATCTTTATACAATGTAAACAACAGAAAGGTATCGCACAATTTTAGCATTAACATTAATATATTATATAGTCTTAAGATCCAGTGGACGGCTACCTGTATGTATTTGACCAGACCTTAGTTTTTGTACACTGAGGCCCCTATACTTACCATACCTGAGATAAGGAGTCACTAAGCCCAAAGTGGTGGACGCGGCGGGCGCTCAGGTAAGACAGTTATCGATTTTTTGGCAAATTTTAAATGCATTTGACCACGTCTGCCGTTTTGAAATTTGAAAATATATTATTATTATCAGAAAACAACAATGGCAGACCTTTATCGCGTGTTTAACATTGTGGCAGAGAGTTTTGGAAGTCCTGAAAATAATAAAATTTTTAAAGTAATTGGCCAGATCTGCCATTGATATATTTTATTTATTAGGGTATTAAAAACTTATATTCATCACGACAGACATCTTCATTGAGTACGCACGTCAGCAGACAACAAAATCTTAGCTACTATCCGGCCAGGTGTATGCATACTGTTTATAGCTATCTTTCTTTTTTTCCCCTATGGATTACTATTGTACTCCATATACCATTTTCTTTTATTGTTACTAGTATTCAAATGATTCAGATTTTATACCTGAGAGGGCCCAGATATCTCCCCACCATAACGGTTAGTTCCAGATATTTTCAGTATATTTGTGAACCTTCATACAGATACCAAAGATACCAGAATTGTCTCTGTAGATACCTCGTGTTTTGTGAAATAAATAAAATATATAGTGTTGCTTTCTTTTATTTTGCTGATTACTCCTATTATTTATTTAATATACGCAAAAGTGAAAAAAAAAAGAACTGAAGTGTTTCTTGTGACACGGTAAAAACTGATAAATTACTGATATTTTCAGAAGAGACTATGTCAAAAGAGGTTACGAAAATTTCATTAATTGAAATATAAAGATATCATTTTACCAGACGAAATTTATGATTCTGCACATCATAGTAATTGATACAAGACATTTACAGCATTGAAAAGACATTTTATGTCGACAGATGTTAAAAAAAGTTCCATCACAGACCAGTACATCTTCGTTTGCAATTGAACAACCATCTACATCAGCTGATAGTTCAATAATTAATGATACAATTGTACATGATTCCCTTGTAAAAGATGTGAATCTTCACGAGACAGAAGAAGTAGAAAAAGAAATTGACGCTCAAGCTGAACAACCGTTGGAGGCAGGACCTTCCGAAGATTTAGCAGAATCATCGACCATTCATACTTCTGAAAATGTAGCTTTAGCAAACTTAAATGTGTTTTTTTGCAACAAAAAAAGAAACAATATCGCTCTAAGAATTGGCCATTACGCACTTCAGGGAAGGATCAATTTGAAAAGAGTATTTTATTAAACTTTAAGCCAGATACTGAAATTTACAGTGAAAGTTTGACCAAAATACAAAGTGTCTATTATCATATTTGCCGGCAAAATTTCAGGAATCAGAAAATGTCACTAGTGAAAAGTCTTGTCCGTACTTCATGGCACATCTCCTGAGAAGTACATGAAACTGTTTATAAAGAAATATGTTAATTGAAGAGAATGTCATAAATCGAGGGACGTTGTTATTTTCTGAGTTATTTACATAGAGTATCTCGAAATGTTTAAAGAATTAAGTGAAGGCTCTGACGCAACATCAATATTTACCACACACTATTTAGAAGAAAAGATTCACAAGAAATTTAATGACAAAATTAAAATTTTGATATCGAACAAAAAAAAAGTTGTTATTATTTGTTATCTTCAATATACCTCCATAGTTTACTAAATTAAATATTAATTCCTATAAAGTAATAACGTAAATCATATTGATGTGAAACAAGGAACGTAATACACATACATCTGATCGGATGGTAGCTAAGGTTTTGTTGTCTGCTGACGTGTGTACTCAGCGAAGACGTCTGCCGTGATGAATATAAGTTTTTAAGACCCTAATAAATAAAATATATTAATGGCAGATCTGGTCAATTGACCAGTAATTACTTTCAAAATTTTATTATTTTCAGCACTTTCAAAACTGTTTGCCATAATGTTAAACACGCGATAATGGTCTGCCAGTGTTGTTTTCTGATAATAATATATTTTCAAATTTCAAAACGGCAGACGTGGTCAAATGCATTTAAAATTTGCCAAAAATCGATACCTATCTCACCTGAGCGCTGGCCGCCGCGTCCACCACTTTAGGCTTAGTGACTCCCCATCTCAGGTATGATAGGTATAGAGGCCTCAGTGTATAAAAACTCAGGTCTGGTCAAATACATACAGGTAGCCGTCCACTGGCTCTTAGACTAATATTCTGTAATATACATATAAAAGTAATCCTAGCAACATTTTATTTTACCAAACCAAAAAGATAGGTTTTGTTTTAAATGTGACATGTGTAGATATTTTAAAAATAATTGATAAATCAAAAAAATATAACGTTTTCACTCTTCATTAATTAGTATAGCTAAGAATATTATTGTGCAATACTTTTTTGTTATAAACTGTAAACTATAATTCCTGCAATGGATTTTTAAATTGAAATATTGTATTATTAAATAAATTTTTAGACAGTAAAATAAATCGTTAAAATCGAATAATTAAAAAAAAATCCAAACTGTAAACTCACTAATATTTCGTAAATACTGCTTTTTAGATGATTCATTCGGTATATTTTATTTTGTAAGGCGCTTAAAAATATTATTAAAAAACTTCTTATGACTGAAGATTAGCGTATTCTTAGTATTGACCTAGATCTCTTTAACTTTTAATATGTATATACTATATATTTAGTGCTCCTATAAACTACTTTTTGTAACTAAATCGCCCAAAAAGTATTCGTTAACATGCTGAAGAAAGTTTTTTTTAAACATCTTCTGAAAGTATATAAAATATCAATTTATCAAAAGTAAATAATAAAAAAAAAAGTTTTTAAATGCGTAAAACAGGCATAATTCTATCCATCAGTTCAGTTGAGCCTAGCTTAGATCTTTAGAGTGAACACTTTATAAAATAAGGCTCTCATTCGTTTTAGAAATAAGTCTCATAAGGTGAAAATTTTAAGGATTTGCAATGTATCTGTAAAAGGTTTCACTTTAAAGATAAAACAAACTGTATAAACGATATTGTATCTACTTTTTGAGATGTGAAGTATCCAGTTATATAGAGTGAGTTGAAAGATTATATTTGAACAAATATGAAATACAGGGCGATTTACAACTATTGGGACTTAATACTTCAATAAAATATTGCCGTGGAATAATATACAGGGCGTTAAATAATAATAATAATAATAGACTATATTCTCACAGCAAAAATAATTCACTGACAAGAAATGACATATGTACCAGACACAATTATCTGACATTGCAAAGCACACTTTTCATAAATGAAATAATATTTTTTAAATCCCCATCTGAGACTTGTGAACTGTTCAATTGCGTTTTTCTCGAAAACGGGCGAAATTATCGTGTTTAAACAATAGTACCAATATTACGGAGAAATTATGCTTACATCATATTTTCTATCAAAAACACTAAAAAGTTTCGTCAAAAGAAGCAGCCAGTCCCTTTCATCATCAGGAATCATTCACGTCGCGCCCTCTGTAACAAAATGTGAAATAATACATAAAATAATATTCCTTGTCCAAAGATATGCCTCTGTGCCGATTTTTATAACGATTCATAAATATACAGACATTATCGCCCTGTATCTTATTCCACAGCAATATTTTATTAAGGTATATTTGGTCCTATCGCCATATTTTGGTCCAAATAACCTGCCCTTAGCCTATGTCCCGATAGTTACGAATCACACTGTATAGTGAATTTCTATAGATAAGCTAAGAATGTGATGTTTTAACATGATCAAATTTGCTACTTAAAAATAATAAAGTTGATTTATCAGATAGACAGCCTGCTGCAAGAACGTCCATTAACATTTATGAGTCTGATGAACTTTGACAGGGCTATTGTGATTAAGACATAAAACATAAACTTTAAATACGCCATATTAGTAATGACATAATTTTGTACTCCAATGACAATACACTTATATTAAGGTTAGGTAGCTCAATTTGAGCGTTCGATTAAGGTCGATGCGTAGATTCGGAACCCACAGAAGACCAATGTGAATTATTCATTAATTGGCATGATTCGTAGTAGGATTTGATGGGAGGCGTATTAGCAGTAATATAATTTCTGTTGATATGAGGTCCAGAGTAACGTCAGTGAGTTACCGTGTCGATGATGATGGGTGAAGTTTTCTCAGAAATAACAAAAGATGTAACTACAAACAAATATCGTGCTGTCGTGAATAGGACATTCTAAGGGAGACATGTCTATTTCATTATTCTCGCTTCGTTCACAAAATTATATGCAAATCTTAAAAAAGATGAAATAGATCAATTTGTTTTATTGCAATTGAACCCAAAAAAATTTGATTACAATAAATTCAAAAACCTAGTTAATCTTAAATTGGATATAGCAAGAGCAGAAGTTGGAAAGGCTTTTGGTAGGTACAGAGGGGGTAAACGTTAAACCACGTCGGAGGCCTTCGAGAATTTCGCGATGATGTTTACCTACCAGTGTCGTTTCATAGAATAAGTAACTTTAAATTTTTACCGGCGGAACCGGACAATCGCATGTATTTATGGACTAGAAATAATTTTTTTTCTCGCTTTATTTGCAATGGACATTAGTCCTTCAGCCACACACAAATTGAAAGGTATTACGTTTAAATATTATTAATTATTAAAAGTATTATAATATCCAAATCATAATCCTACAAAATTTCAACAGTTATTCACAATTTATTCAACTATTTACCCAAAATTGTTATTAACATCTATAAAATAATTTTGTACGCCAATGTATCACGTCCACTTCGGCTAGCTGCGCCGCAAAACTGTCAATTTATATGTATAAAGTGGGACAACTGCAAAAAGCCTTTCCAACTTCTGTCCTACTATAGGAAGAATTTTCTACTAGATTTGGCAATTTCAATGACATAACGGTTTATTTTGGTTAAAAATTAACTCTTATTGAAGCAGAAATTACTTTACACTAATATACCGTATTATTCACAGTCTAAACATCTGTCAAACTTTATCAGGGTACTGATATTAACTGAAAAACACCAATTTTTTGGTTACATTTGGAACACAGCCGAGATTTACGTCACTTTTGTGACAGGTTGACATTCAACTTAATAGAAACCGTAAAAATATAGCGGTTAGTGAATTGACGCTTGAGTTGCCATTTTCAGGTAATCGTATCCCTAATTTAACCGATTTTTCAAGAATGTCGAGCAGAACGGTTAGTTTTGGACTGAGTAACCGATATTTCGGTTAATAACGGACTATACCCTTAATGAACAATAGGGCATCCCAATGATCTGTCAAATAACTGCCAGTGGGAAGGGCTCGTAAATCTATTTTTATTTTAAATAGTAGTCGCCAAACCTGCCAATTTATAGAAAATGTATAAGCGGTTTTTTTAAATATTTTCAAGTTTTTGACATAAAATATTTAATTTAATCCATTATTTATGATTTCAAGTATTGTAGATAGACTACATCGTATGTCGCAACCCTTTAGACATACACCAAACCTTAGCACTACGTTTCATTTGCTTGAAATGCCTAATAGGCTGTAAAATAGTTTTTAATAAAATAATGACTTTTGGTTTCACATTAAGACTAATCAGTTGCATCTATTACATTTAATTAAAAAACATACAACCTGTTCTTTCGCAAAACAGAAGCAACAAAAGTATATCCATGGGTCCACTGTGGATATCTATTTTTAGTCCTTGTGATACCATTTGAATCTCCAATATTGGATATCTACAGTCCAAACAAGGTCCATAATGGAAATAAATTGGACATCTAATAAATATTTGCAAAAGGTAAACATTTTGTAGAAAAGAGAATAATTTTTACAAAAAATCAATGATAAACAATTGTAGAAATTATAAACTTTGGCCCCACATTTCTATTTACCAACAACAGCTGATAACAAAACGTAAACGTTTTTGTTATAAGCCTTGTGTTATGCGTAGGCTTCGTAATTTTAACATGGCCACCTAAGGAACACATCTTTTAAATCAAAGGTTCCAAAGTTCCGGCTCTAACCTGTGAACTATCCCCTTCTTTTATAAATATGTATTTGTGTATTCGTATTACACACAAACCAATTTTACTTCAATGTTTATTAGACAGGCACTCTAGCCAAGCTTGTGTTATGTGTAACATAACATGTATTGCCTACTTACCTTAAAATTGAAAACGGGGTAATCTATTTTTATTATTTCAATTATCGTTTAAATATTAAGAGAAAATATTAGATGTTCAACTAAAATATTCAGATGTTTACATTTTATTTTAAAATATCGATTAGCTTCAATAATAACTACCTTTCTAATGAAAATTGGCAAGAACCAAAGTAACTTTGGCGCCATAAAGCGCCAATAATGTCAAATTATGACAAATGGCGAGAAACGTCAATGTTTCAGTTAGATTTGAATATTATGCAAAAGGCTACTTTGGATAGTAAAATGACAAATGGCGAAAAACGTCAATTTTTCAGTTAGATTTAAATATTATGCAAAAGGCTACTTTGGATAGTGATCGTAAAAAAAATACTTTGTACTATTAAACTTACCTTTTGGTATATATTTGTAGTCGATTTGTGATTATTGTATTTAGAATCGTTTTTATTAAGTTGTAGGGTAGTTTCTCTACCTTGTTTTACAAAATCCAAAATAAATATTTTGGTATATTTAGCATTATTAAAACTATGAGCACAGATATTTATTCAGTCAATACTAAGCAATAAAAAGTACTTACATTAAAAATGCCCCATAATACACTTTCCCAGAAATTAAGGAACAGGAGCTAGTGATCCACAACAAAAAATGTTTCTGTCATTAAAAAAAAAAAGAATTTACTCCAACATAAGTGATTTTTCCATGGCCTAATTTATATCACTCCATATTTCTATGTTTAGATTTCACACAAACAGTAATTCTTTTTCCACAATTTAATT